CATATATCATGACCTGAGCGGTGCATATATCATGACCTGAGCGGTGCATATATCATGACCTGAGCGGTGCATATATCATGACCTGAGCGGTGCATATATCATGACCTGAGCGGTGCATATATCATGACCTGAGCGGTGTATTACGGAAAAGTGGTGCTGTTACACCCTGTCCCAGAGACTTGAGGAAATCTGAGAAACCAAAATGGAAGGCGGGGAAAGAACAGCCAAGCCAAACTGACTTCTTATCTACTTTGGGAAAAAAAACAAAAAAAGTAAACACAGTGATGGAAATAAGGGGGGGAAAATGAATAGCAAATGATGCTAATCAAATTGTCATTTGATTAGCAATTTAAATAATAAATTGACTAGCAAAAACAAATGCAACAATGTGTGAAATAAAAATTTTCATTTTCAAACCGTCGTACTGAATGCGTTAATCAGGCTTGTAGACTGCTGCTCCTGCGTCAACCATGGCATGTCACTCTGCCAATTCCTGATGGTGTGGGTCGATGGAACTTTCTGCATTTTTGACAGTTTTAGTAGCAATGTAAACGCGTGGGTATAGCATGCACGTGTAATAGTGTCAAACAACAGCGTGTTTATGTACATGTACGAGAACATGTAGTTTGTGTTACCAAAACAACCGCATGTACATGTACTGTTCGTGTGTCGCTCACATGTACCTTACTGTACGAACTACATGCGCTGACACAAAACTGCAGCAACTTCGTGCCCAAGACCACCGTTGCTGCGTGTATAAAACGATTGAAACTCGGGGTAAGTGCCAGCATGTTTTTGCCGTTGATTTACGCACAGTCTTGGCTGGCCGTTGCGCACCACGAATACCGTGCCGGCTGGGCAGGCATTTTCAGTGAACATTGGTCGTTGCGCTGTTGTTGGAATAATTTCGACAATCTAGCCGGCCAGCCGTCGCCGCGCAGGTATGTCGAGCATCGGTCGTGGTTTTGCGTGAATCATCAGAAATTTTTACTCACAAAAAATGCTAATCGTTTTCAGATTTGTCTTGCTTTTCGTCTAAAATGTATCGCCTTTTGCAATGCGAACCCAGTTATTTCCATCACTGAAACATATGCACAAGAAGAAGTGATTTTATTGTAAGTTCCTCAAAATATTTGGTAGAAAACAGTTGTTCAGTAATAATTAGATGCGAGTCTGTGTGTTAATAGATCTGTAATATACAGGACATTGTGTTAGATTTAAAAGAAAGTAAAAGGTGCAGGAGCTGTTTTTCAGTCATGGAAAGAATATTAATTTGTACTGTTTTTAAGAAAGATGCACATATGGTAATTTTGCATTGAAATGCCCTTGGGATAAATCAGTTAGCTATTTTCACCTTTTTGATCTTGGGGGCAGAAGGCGATATAACAACACTGGGGCAAGTCAGGACTTGTCTCAAATATTTGCGCACAGAAATTTTTCTGTTGTTCAGCCGCACGCAAGTAATGTGCAGAAACACCTCCTGCACTTGCCGGTGAATAATTCACGAGAGCTTTCTGCAAGACTAAAGCATCAAAAACAAAAACCTTGGCGCTTGTTTTGCTGAGGTATTGATCACAAAGGCATGGACTGTGACTATTGATTGTGCTTCGTTCTGTCTCGCCTTGTGCTGACCACACGTAGCTTTACTGGATATTTATGGATGATATTAGGCTGAATTAGGGAGTGTAGCAGGACATTTTTCTTTTTGGACAGGGAATAAGATTTCAACAAAATGTCTTACATCTGTATTAGAATGGAGGCCCACTGTGCCCAGGTTGTCTTTCCTGTGTGATTTGTTGCTTGTAGTCTTCATGCGGAGAGAAACAGTTTTTGAATTAATGAATGGTTGGATAGCTGCTTACAAAAGTAAAGTTTGACCTTTCAAATATAGTCGGTCAGTTGCCTTTCTAATCTCATTCCTGCATCCGTTAACAATTTGATTTGATTAAGGGCTCTTTCTCCAGATGGGTGAAGACCAGATTACACGCCACGTTTTACTGCTGACAAATTTTATTATTTTTTAGACTTACTTGTGAGAGGATACCCAGAAACAAGTCCTAGGCCTTTTTCTACTTTTTTGTTTTAGTTTACAATAGAAAGAGAAGACTGAGCTCCTTTTTTTTATGCATCACCTGTTTTGGTATCTGCATGACAGTGCTCCTTACCTGGGTGAAAAATGTCAAGGATTTCTAGTGAGTTTACATGTACACTTCACAAGATTCTTTTATAGGCATTCAACTCTGAAATAGCTCTTGCAAGTTCTGATTCACATGGTCACTTTTACAGGAGGAAATACTGGTGTTAATTTGTTCCTGGGTTAAACATTGAGATAGAGAAGCAATCGGATCTCATTCTGATCTCGATCTTCCTCCTGCGTGTCTTGATACCCGAACTGGCTTCCTTCCAGGATGCTGTGCTCTCGGCAAATCTGCCTTCTTCCTTAACCCAAGCCTTGACACAGATACGGAGCCCCTGGCGTGGAGTTCATTGGTGTCCATGAAGGCGAGAGTGCTGTCTGGCAGCTCTTCTTCCTCCCGGAGCAAGTAAGTTGAACCACTAGGATCAGTCTGATCCAAATCAACATTAATAAAGGAGAATTCAGAGAGTTTCTTGAACCTGGGTGAAAACTTACAGAAATGTGCTGTTGACACCATTGATTCATAAAGTAAAAACGAGTGTGTCATGTTATATCAGGCTCTTTTTTTACCAATCATAGTTTTAGAGTAATCCACTGTTGTTACCCCTGGTCAGCAGGCTTATGAAGCATTCCTCGCTGTACATGTAAGCAGCGGATTTCCCCATCCAGAATAGTCATCCAAATTGCCAAGTACAGATTCAATAGGATTTCTAGGCTGGATAAACAACATATTTCGTTTCACCTCGTTAAATGCATCCGTGGAAGGCTGCAAAAAATTCTGGATCCTTGGGAGATTTATTTCCTGTCAGAGTTAACAAATTTACAGGGGTACATGTAGGTACATGGAAAGCCAACTTGCCAATAAGTAGTGCAGTGACCTGCTCTTGTGAGAGCTGCATTATTGATTGGTAAAAAGGTACATTGTAAGGTCACTGTTGACAGTCAGGCTAAGGGTGGGATTAACGTAGAGTTGAAGCTTTGTCGTTTACCTGCCTCTTACTTGACTTTATAGCACAAGCCTGTACTAATCCCAATACTCTTTTTCATCAAGGAGAGTTCACTAGTCCATGTCCAAATGCTGTGTCTGCGGCTAGGTCTGTGTCTTCACAGGTTGGGAATGTGTGGGCATGAAGATGAGAGTAGACATAGTCAGAGCTCCAGAAGTCTAGTTTGGACACAGCATTGCCCTGCTTCTTCCATGGAGTCTCTGCCTGTAGACCACCATCTTGGGACGGCCATCTTGCTTTTCTACTGTTCAAAGCAATATAACCAAACAAAAGCCGTGTCCGAAATAGGCTTCCGCAGCTACAGCTAGGTCTGTTGTCTATGCGTGTCCACACATTTCCAATGGAGGGATGACCTAGACCTAGCTCTAGATAACTGATTCAGATGCAGCCTGAGGCTAGAAGGAGAAATAGTCTGTTTCCTTATATCAGTATGTGAAGTTGCATTACTATCGCTGACAGGACTATAGGGAGCAAGACAAATATGGCAGGATCATAATTTAATGGTCTTTAGTCGGCTGAATTTTTGCTTCAAATGGCCCAGTAGAAATGAGTGAGCATCAGGGATTAGTTTTTTTTATTTTTGAAAAAATTTCAGACAAGTTGGCTCAATCTATTCAAAAGCAAGCAAATTAGCTGCACTTGTAATAGTTTTATTTATTTATTTATTTTGTTATGACATTAAACAAATTTGGATTTGTATTAAGAAATTTAAATCAAGTAATTTGATTAAATTCACAAACCACCATGTCTTAACCCGGGTGAAGTGCATGTACAGTCAATTGCAAAAGTTTAACACCACCTGGAATTTTATTGGTATTTCTGTCACTGGGCCTGCATTACACTGTCTCACTGAATGATTACTTATCATGTTTTACAGTGTTGCAAAACAGTGTAGTGCTACATGTATATACCCATTTGAATGAAATTTTTTGCAAAAGCAGGTCTTGTATGACATTTTGTCTGTAAGGCAGCATGGGTGAAAAAAGCCAGTCTAAGCATCAGAAATAAAGGAGGGAACACTGGATATTAGACTGTTAACATGTCAAATCATGGAAATGTAGTCAAAAATGTTCAACCAAGGTTACACATTGAAAATAAACGTAAGTTGCCATGATTGATTGGTTTCAGTTTGGTTTTCCTTCAGGTTAATGCATTTTCTGTGGGTGGTCCTAAACTTGTGGGAATGGCTATAGGATAACACTTACCAGTACCAGTGCAGGCACCGGTACCTACAGAGAAGACACTCACTTCAGAGACGAGTTGAAGCACCGATTCATGTACCGAGGATAAAGTACATACTAGGTTTTAAACCAAACTCCAAGTTTTGACAAAACTAGAGTTCACAAGAATTTGTTAATAGGGTGCTTAAATGCATATACACTGAACATGTACATGCATCAAATGACTAATTAGTGAGAAACATGCCATGAACAACAGGTGCATGTATTTTGTTACTTGCTAGCTACAGGCACGTACATGTAGGTACAAAATGCTGGTATTTTGCCTTGCTCTGTGTGCAGAAAGCAGTCTCATTTTGTTTGTGATCCAGCTCCACAGAGCAATGACTTGAGCTTGATTACAAATCACTTTATTAAGGGCATTTATTAAGGGGCATTTAGTGGTTTCAGTTACACTGCATAATGACTGACATGACTAATCTCGGTACAATACTTGTGTACCTGTATATAAAAGAAAGGTGTGCTCTGATACTTCACCACTCTGAAATGGGAAATTCCAATGAAGTAAAATTAAATCAGGATTATAGATCCTTCGCATCAAATTCACTTACTGAATCCAAAAAGCCAATTTAAATCAAATCAAGTGAATTGAATTGAACAAAAAATATTTTGCCAACCCAGACTGTGTGTAACACGTGTACTTGGAACTGGAAGGCTCACAGAGGGGGGATTTGTTGTTGAAACTGTACAAAACCTGCAGAAATGTCCAATCAGTAGAAAAGAATTCAAAAATTGAAACATTTTAGACTTTTTGTAATATTTATTGAAATCAATGATTTTTTTTTTAAAAACTCATTTGGTTTAAATTTGCAACTTAAATCATGGTGATTTAAATCAGCCAACCCTGGTGAGCATGTCAGCTCAGTAAGCTATCAGTACATGCATGTGTTTCATAATTCATGTTAAGGAACCACCATTAAATGCAAAGCATTACAGTCCCTGATGCATCCAAGTTTTACACATGAAAGTCAGTGATCTTGTCAGTGCTTGTCTATAGATACAAGTATTCAGTCCACAGCCTTCACGGTCTTTACATGTTTAACAAGTAGATACCAGCAAATGTGGCAGTGTCAGCTAGGGACAAGGTTAAGAAACAGTGCCAGTCAATAGTTCATATAGACAAACTTGACAGTACAGTAGTTATCAATGCGTCCAGTGTGTCTGCCAGGAGCCTTGTTCTGTCTCACAGTTTCTCCCAGCCTCTTTGCACTTGCTAAAGGCTCTGAAGCTTTCAACAGTAGCCAAGTTTACATGTACATGTACATTACGAAGTAGAGCTGAGCCCAAGCCTCTTGAAGGGGAAATACAGGTAGCCCCCCTTTTTTGAGGGTATAGTTTTGTGGAAAACTCAGTGGAGGGTGCTTGGATGTCGCACATTACATTGAGTGCCACTCAGTAGCAATTGGAAGCCGAGGTTGGGGGAGGGGCGGACAGGATCCAGGGTGGTAGAAAAGAACCTATTGGTACCAACTGATCGTCGAGGGTAGTTTGGGTTCAGTTGACATGTAGGATGTAATGTCACCTTTTCACAACTTGAATAGAGTCTGGATTCTATAAAGAGTTCTCTAGATTTCAAGTGGTTATACCTAAAGGTGCTATGTTTCTCTTTAGTATACACCTTGTTTGGATAAAATCTGAAGCTTAACTCAACAGTCCCAAATCCTTGAATTTCAACGTGATTTTAAGTACACACGAGGGGTGAGGGTTAAATCCCATTTCAAGGAATTGTTCAGTAATTCTGTGTTCTACTTGAAACAGAAAAAATTGGCTCTCACATTGTATGTGGATCGTGGTGTACAGCTGAATGTTGGTCACTTTTCCTTACAATGGGCAGGTGATCTTTGCATCGAAGAACAAGTCAGTGTTTCACATTCTGATCCCAGTCAAGCAAACATGTATTTACCAATGGAAGTGAGCTTAAAAGGCACTCCTACTCCAGTGGGCTGAGTTCATGGACCACAAGAACCCTCTTTTTACCATGAGGAAATAAGTTTATTTGATTTGATATTTATAGTGCTGATATTGTAATGCTGAGAACATGGTTGAACTTAAAATGAACGGCTGTACCTTGAAATTAAAGTGAGACTTAACCACTATCTCCTCAGCACTTGAACCAAACTTGTCCCCCAAAACTCCAGTGATTTTTACCTCAAAATTTTACGACAGCTTATGTCTGTGTACACTGCAGTGCATGCACATCGCCGGGACTTATATTTTAATTTGGCAACCTGTTCTTGGGTGTTTTGTGCAGGGGCGCATCATCAGCTTACTGCAGGACAATAGTTTGCACCTGTGGGAGGTCAACATCAAGGATGGTAACTCGGTCCTTGAAGAGGTCAAATCCTTCTCCCTGGAAGGAAGGTCAGTCGGCCCTCAGGTGCTCTCTTACACACCCTTGAGAGGGCACTTTAATTAATCTTTTTTTAAACTCTGTATTAAAAAATAAGCAGATTTGTGAAATTTCTGTAGGGAAATTGGAGGTTCCATGTAAATGCTGCTAGATTTTTAATTTTTATGGGGTTTTAACCTACAAATCATCATGACACTCTCCTGGGAGGGATAGCGTACAAACCTCAATCAGTAACACCATCAGTTTGACAAAGACATAGCGTTGAAAGCTTACATACTTCGTGTTACCTTGTTTTTAACCGAGAGAATTGGTTTAATTCTCATTCCGACGAATTTGTTGGTAACATCTGTGTAATTCAAATTGCTTGCTTCTTGTACACCGTGCCATTGCAATTTGGAAAGTAACCTGAAATACATGTATACTGCTTTAAAGTTTATACACATATGGATGATGATATTATGTTCTTGATACTCCTTAATCAGTGCACTAAAAAAGTGATTACGGCTCCATACATATTCCAAAGCTACTGAATTTAACAATTTTGCATCGCAATTTTCATATTTTGCTTGAGAAACACGCAAGATCCTGTTCAGTATTCCAGTAAAACAAGGAAAACATTTTTCTTTCCTGTGGTTTATTTTTTAGTCACTTTTTTTTTAAAATTCCACTTCCGCCGTCTGCTTTCCTACCATTTTCCCACCCTCCTTTCCTCTTTAACATCTACAGACTCAAGAAGATCTCAGTCTGCTGCCTGTCCGCCGACTGCAAGACCCTGTACATGGGCACGGAGGGAGGTAACATCTATCTGCTGAATGTGGCCACGTTTGACATGGATGAGCTCATCATCTACCAGGATGTTGTCATGCAGAAGTAAGTCTTTCCAGGTTTGCTCCTTTGCACTGTCGTCCAGCCGACAGTTTGACGTTGAAAAGGGGAAACCATCTTGAAGGCCCATCAGCAGAGCTTTTCCAAAGTCGCAGTGAACTCATTTGTTACAGAGGACATGTTCAGCTGATCAGAATCTTACAAATTGTTCCTGGGGACTTGGAAAATGTGATTTCATTTCTTTGTGTTGGTCCGACAAAATCTCTGATCAAAATCTCTTAAACGCTGCCTGCACTTTGTCACAATTCAAAAACCACAGTGCACCGACCTCCACACATAAACAGCACATGAGCACTTTTTCGTTTGGTTAAATCACCTCATTCCAAACCTTTTTAGTTCAACATCTGGGAGATATCCCAGGCGGTGCCCACACACCTTCAGGTCTCAAACCCGTGATATCGTTGGCTGTCTAGAAAGTGTGTGACGCACGGGAGGCCACATGTTTGGAATGGAAAGGAAGGGTTAGAAGGGAGAGGTTTCTACACAGACTTTTTCTTTCTGGAGATTCTAGATGTTTACATACTGCCTGGTCTTAGACTAAGATTAAAGCAATTCATGTACTGCTGGCTTGGCTAAACAGCTCCTCCTCGAATCCTTGTCTTGAAGGAGACATCCAAATCATCCAAACCATGAAATCGTAGAGCTAGCACTATATCTGTCCTGCTGCCGCCATAGCATTGAAGCCGACAACATGTCCACCTCATCCAGTTACAACTGCCACAAAACTTAAGACTTATTTAAACTGAAGCTGCAGCTTACTGCAAACTGACAGCTTCACTGTATGGTGGAAGGCGACGTTAATCCTTTATAACAATCAATATCTTCAGAACATCAGCCATACAGTGGACTGAGCTTTCTGATTTCTAAACTTTCCGACTTTAGTTGCTAACTACGTGGAGCTGTTTTTTCCGTAACAACTTTCTTCGCTTCTCTTTTTTTTCCGACATACCCCGTGGTCCCAGCGCCAACATTTGTAATGCCCATATGCGAAGAATCTGTTGTGTAAACTCCAGCTACTGTTAAAAGGCTTGAATTTTGTTAGCCAGTTGTACATCCTGGTTTGCTTCTTGCATACAGTTTAAAATCAAACCCTGATGTGTTCATGCATTTCAAGATTGCTCTACCAACTTGACTGTTTAAAGAAACCTAATACACAGAATGGTTCGCTTTTCTCTGATCTTCCACGAAGCCATTTTTGAAAGGTGGTACGCATGACGCAAACAGAGGGTTTTCCTTTTTACCCCAGACCACCTTCAGAAAAAAAAAAAAAAAAAACCAGCCTGGCACTGCTACCCTGAGAGAACCAAGTGTGGGTGTTGAAAGCGAAAGCTCTGCCCCGGTCGGTCCGTTTCAGCGGGAGGTTATTTACGGAGCTCTTTGGAGGCTTGTAATTCACACACACACAATGGAAACCCCCCTCCAGCATTCCATTGTCACACCCAATGCCATGGCTGGTGGTTGTGACATTATCCCTTTCCCCTCCCCCCCATGAGGGGCAATGCTAAAGTGCTAAGGTGTAAAATGGGAGCCAAACAGGCCAACTGTGCCTCGTTGGCCTTGGGTACCACTCTCTTTTCATGTCAAGGCTAATATGATGGAGAACAGTCGGTTTAAAATTTGACAATTTATGTTCCAACCACCTGTGTACATGTCTGACTGCGTAGAAATTCTTCCCAAATGTCACTCCTTTTTTTTCCAATCATGTGCAGAGCAGAAAACAGGGACAACAGGAAAACTATTCTGAGATGCCTTTCATGAAAGCAAAGTTGCCTAAAAATATTTTTGAAACACAAAGAGACTTCCCTGAGCAAAAAAAATGGGGGGAAAAGAGCGTCTGTGTAGGCACATTGCACTCGTGTGGGCTAGTTGCAATTCAGCCTACTCAGTGTGAGAAATATTATTGTTTGCAAAGTCTGTGGAGGCTAGTAACGGTGAAAACCTTCAAAGAAAGACATGTATCAGTATCTATTGTACATGTATCGACCTTGCTGTTAATGTACCAAAGGACTTGATCACCGTTGCCATTTTGTAGCACAAACGATGATGTACACCAAACACTTACCAAGGGATATTATGATGGTCTAGTACCCAGACTCTCGAAATTAAAAAACCCATATGTAGCATGGTTCCTATGGGCAGTCGTTTGCATTTTAAGCTCGCTAAGCCCTCCGTTAAGGGAAGTGTTATTATTTGCGGAGGCATTTTAAAACTTCCCCAGCGTGACCCCCTAAAGCCAACACTGCGTCCCTGGGTTTGACGTCAGCAGCTATTATTTTATTCCCCAACTATCAGCCCAAACATCACTCCCCAGCGACATTTAGGCCTGATTGGGCTAATGGCGTTAGGAAGGGTAAGCGGGCACCCTGCAATCCGTCAGCGCTAAGCTCGTTGTCAGGCCTAACACGTTCAAATTTGAATATTTCTTCCTCAGTCTGTGTACAACTAAGGGGGGTTAAGGTTTTGCTGCGTATGCCTGATTAGCTGGCATTTGAAAGCCTTTGAGTGCAGAACACTAATGGGGCTTGGGCATATTGGTCAAACTCAGAAGTAGCAGTTACTTCAACGACAGTTCTTGTAGACTGTGACAGCAAACCAGAATTTAAAGAAAAAAAAAATTCAACATCCCTGAAAAACACCAGAAGTTGAGACATCCCAAACGGAAGTTTTCCTAATCATGTTATATGTATTAGAATCTGGTACATGTACCAGGTTTTTGGCATTTGTGCTCTTGGAATTAATTTAGGATCAACATTTTGAATACTTCAAATATTCAAATAGTGGTATCAAGTAGTTATCATTTTTATTTGATAAAATTCTACTATGATACCAGTATTTCTGTGAAGGCCTCAACTCGTAAAATGGAAGGGGGGGGGGCCTTTGAATGGCGGGACCACCAGTGACTGCAGAAACTTAAAATCTAATGCACATGTAAATCTCTGAAAGCATTAAAAATTTATGGGGCTCGGCACATTTTGGTATCCATAGAAAGTATTATTGGTTCAAGTCAGAACATCGTAAATGTTGACCTGGTAAAGAGGACACTTTAATTTTTGCTGGGTGATACTTGTGCATGTAGATGATCTATTGGATTGTATCAACTACATGTTGCTTATGATGTTGTGTAGCGTCAACTGCGTGCTGCTTGTAGATGCAGTGTTGCTAAGGAAGATTGGTGTGGAGGAAATTTCAGCATGGTTTTATACAATGTTAAATGCACTATCCGGCACATCAGTTTAGTGTGATCTGTGATAGGCAGAGCAGTAGTTGGGTGCCGCGATATCATACATGTAACCTGCAACCTATGCATTGTACGTTACATGTGCATGTACCGGTACATGTCGTGCTGATGTATTGGAATGATCGAGGGATGGCAGCATTTCAAGGTTCCCACAGCTGTGAAAAATCCTGGAAAAAGTTGTCCTTGAAAGTCAAGGAAGAGTCATGCAAAATTGGGAAAAAACAGGGTGTCCTGGAGTCCATTTGTTTCGGAAAATAGTCATGTAAATGTCAAGGAAATCAAGATGGTATAAGGTTTAGTTTTGATCGGCTACTTTTGATGTGATAACGGAATAATGATTAATTTACAAGCTATCCTTGTCAGTCTGTAGGAGTGGCTATGGCAGTCTTCCTGTTGATAATACCAAACAACTTGCCACTCAAAATCTCACTCAAAATGTCCTATTATTAATTTTGGAAAGGACTGGAAAAGGCATTGAATTTGCTTTTCTTATTTCAGAATACGTTATTATTGATGTCTTTCCTTTGCAAGTACTAATTGTGGGTATGGCCATGCCTGAAGTGAGGGGATGATGTAGTGTATCCTCTGAAATGTCTTAATTCATAAAGTCATCCTAACTTCATGAGGAAGACGTGCAAGGCTACCGTGCATACGTGCAGTGATTCTTTAACGTTTTCGTGCATTGGTTCAATCAGTGCCCCATATCAGGTTGCCAGGTCTCAAGGCTCTCTCATCATACACCATAGCAACTGCATCATCCCGATGATAAGTGTGATTGGGAAGATGGGTGTGCGGGTACAGGGACAACGTGTTTGTGTGTGGGGGGAGGGAGACTGGGAAATGTGGCGCCGTTTATTGACTCCTAATGTGATTGCTCCTCAATGGCCGTAATGTGATTGCTCCAGAGTGGCCGACCGGTGACCAATAAGGGCCGGGACTGAATTGCTGAGGACTAGTTTGTGAACTAGATATTCATCATCTGAGGATGCTCTTTGCTTTTGATAACAAGATCTTGAAGCAAGGAGCTAGAGTTGTGTCACTGGTGGCCAAGGGTTTCTCCAGCCGTAAATTGAGAAAATTATTTAGTAGGTGGCCAGTGAAGATCTTTGAGATGACTACATGTACATGGTGTAATCACATCCTGACTCCATTGTGTGGAGCCTCAAATCATTTAAATGTTAGAGTAACAGAACCACCAGAATTATAGACCCATGAACTTTGGAACTCCTTAACTGCTTTGAAGTCATTGAAATCATTGGTATCAATGCCAGAATTTAAAATCATAAAATTCTTTATCATTTTTGTCAGTCATCAGTTTTTTTCCTTTTTGAAATATAACGTTCTGAAACTATATTGCTTAAAATTATGACTGGATTTGAAAGGGTAGGGTACGGTAACTCTAACTTTGAGACAGTATTGGCATAAAATGTGTATCGAACTGTTAGAGCATATAAAATGTTCCATGGTGAAAGAGACCTTTGGCCTTTCTCAATCCTTCTGTTTCAACCGACACTACAGGCTTATACTAGTAATATTGAACATGATGCTGTGAAAAAAACCTAACGTAGCTTCACTGGACCTTCCACAATTGTTATAATTACACGACACGTGCACCTCGCACCGCTAGCAGCAGATGATAATAGCTCTATTCTCTCGTCACCTTACTGGTTTCTGGTTTAATCATTGGTCTTTTGCAAGCTGTTGAACTGTGAGGAATGAATGAGACACGCCTAGTCTGGCCTGGCAG